TTTTATTTGCAGCACGTTCACAACTTTTATGGATTGCTCCAGAACTGATCGGTCTCTGAAAATGAAATCAATACGACACTCGGATTTCTCTTTATGGTATTGGTATCGAGGTGGAAATTCGGATCTATAGGTAGTTTACCAGCTCAGTTATTAGGATCTAAATGACTCAACAATGATGAAAAAAGCGAAGGATACCAAGGAACCTTCATTAAACCTCTCGGGATTGTTCAAGCTTACCAGCATGCGGATCGTTTCTGTAGAATTTCTGGTTTTATGCCAGTAAATCGATAAGAGCGCTGCTCTAAGCAGTTTCTAGCTGATTTCTTGTGGAGTTTCCTCGTTAATTCTATGATATGTTCATAATGGGCGGGCCTTGGACGGTGCGGTGGGCATATATGACGCTAGAACCCTCTTGTGTTCTTGCCATGCAGGTTCGAGAGACGAAAGTGATGTGCCCCACACGGCTGCGGAACTTTGGGCGTCGTAGGAGAAGGAAGTTCTGCTCAGATGCTCCCCAACCAGCAAACTCACGTTCTTATGCTCGCGACAACTTCCTTGAGAAGACCGGCCGCCTTCTTGACCATTATATCCCGACATTTCTCCAATTCTTTATCCATTGTCAAAAACGCTGCGTCAATTCTGGCGTCCGATGAAGCGATTGGGTCCTGCAAAGAAATACCGTACTTAGAGCTTATGGTAGTTCCTAATTCAGAAGTGGAGAAAGCTGAAAGACCTTGGACTGCTCTTCCTTGTCCATTTCACACACTTGATCCACTATACCACAGATAACCTCGATGATGTCCTCCCAGTCCTCGGTAAGGTCGGATTTGTTCTGAATCAAAGCTTTGTATAACTTGAAGCTACGTATACATTCCGCCCCAAGAGCGATTTATCGCGCAACCGACTACGCTTCAACGCTAGTCTTTTAAGCGTTGCAACCGCTATAGTCCAACCGTATGGTTTCTTTCGACTGTTACAACAGCCCAACGATTCACGGTGGAGCGCCCTCGGTCACAGTCGCTTTAATTGCGGAGTATAAACACGGACTAAGCCAAGCAAAGTTTCAAGCCCAAACAGATACCTCATTAATAAGGACGCGGAATGTAGAGTTTAGAGGATCTTCCGCTACAGTAATATCAGCCACGCCAAAGCGTTCTTCATAGTACTCCTTATCTAATGGATTAAGCTCGTCTGGATATGGTACCGGGTACAGATTGCACCGCTCACAGTGCTTGTTGTTAGGAAGACCTCCGACTTTCGATGTTCCAGCGCCTGAAGTTATATGATTTTGCGTTAGTGGTCTATGCTTTATTCAAGCTAATGTTCCTACCTGTAGTTTGAATACTGTCGAATCGACCTAACCACAACGGTACGTCTTCGGTGTAGTAGATCTCGACCCACACGCCGCTGTTCACAAAATACGTTGGAGCATAATGTCCATGGCGTGGAGCGCTTACCTGAAAAGACATATTTTGAAGGGACTTACTCCTGAAAACCTGGTCCAAGCATTTGCGTGGTAAACGACCACATGCCCAGGGCGCGCTTACATTTGCAGGCGAGCGAAGCAAAATCGTGATAGCGCTAGCATCTCACTATCCTCGGATCCACTCTAGGCTGTTATTGATCACCCTAGCCAGAAGAAGAAAGCCTCTTGTAAACGTCACAGTGGCCAGGAAGGGTCGTCTAGACTTGACGGTGACGCGCTGTAGCGCGCGATAACGCGCCACCGCTGCAGGCGCGTCTTAATACTATGATATAGAAGCCGCAGACGGAAATAGATTGGCGCTAGCCGCTTGTGTTTTGAGTGGGTATGGGATAAAGCAGGGTAGATGCTGCCTTCATACAATGTGTTACCCTCCTACTCCTCTATACTCTACAAAAACAATACCGGCCAGTGCCGATCAATACCAAATCGAGTGAATGGCGACGCGTAACACTTATTCCTCCATACTCTCTCAAAACACAAGTGGTCGGCACTGATCGGTTCCTGCAGCTGCGTTCGCGTCTATAGCATTGGAGCACCGCTGCAGCGTTGGCACACGCTCTGTGGAGTGTCTTCGCTCGCCTCTGCATGAAACTATCACCGAACAATGAAGGAGAGGATAGAGAGGGAATAGCCACTTGGAACGATTCCCTTCCCTTCACCTTTGATAGCACATTTTGCAAAAGCCAAGAAATAGGCAGAGATTCTCGGCCGTTGTGCTGCTCACGTATTGGATAGGAGGGACGGTTTACTGATGAAGGCGCAAGGGTTCTAAGTCCCTGCCCACTAGCTTGTCCATTTGGTTATCGCGGAAAGAGCACCACAACACCCAACACATAACATAAAGGCCATAGGTGGTCCTACCGTTAAAAACGGGTTGTCCTCAGGATCCATTTGGTGAAGCTTCATGTAGCAATAACTAAACAGATGTTGTTACAAATTCGAGAATCTTCCTGAAAAAACCTTAAGGTAATACCCACCTGTCCGTTTCCGATCCTTTTCGGCATATAACCACAGTCACGTAGTGCGTGTAGTAATTGCAGTAAAAGTCAGCAAAATAGAAATTATTAATGGTCGGATCCAGTAGTGCATTAGGAGGTACCATCATTCGAACGTTACCAAACGGCGATTGAGTTGGCAATGAGCCATCAGCATATACACGTGCCGAGAAGAACAGTCCTTAATCTGAGCAGTAAAAAAACAATTTCTCCACCTTTGTGACGCCATTGCAGCCAAGCCATTTTACACCAGACCCAAGTGAAACCATGTTTTCCAAGAATGGTCGCACCACAGCGCACCTGATATGATCCCATTGATTCTATTCGCCGGTTGACCATTATTATCCTTGATGTACTTTTCCATCAGACCATCGTGAAAGTGGTGAATCTCATCCCAGTATTCACGCGGCTTGCACCTTAACTGTGGAGTTCAGACTATGTGAAACTAATCAAATACACATTTTGCGATTAGCCAACGAAAATGTCAGGTTGCCTTGTTGAGAATCAGAAGCCAAATATGGGCCATTCAACTTACACGTTAAGAAAAAAAAACAGAGGTAACCGTCATAAGAGCCTTGAAGCCTTCGTTGTTCCAAGCGAGAGGAGAGGATTGACTGGGATCTCGCGCGAGAGACCGACTGGAGTAGCGAGCATACAAACGATCGAACCCAGGCGACAGTGTGGGTGGAGTCACTTGCGCTCGGGAGGAGCCACTTGTGCATACGCCAACGCCCTTATCTTACAACTTCATCGCGTGAAAATGACACAAGTTTTATCACACTGCAGCTCACACTACCTTCCGCGACACAGGGAGCTAATTCCCACGAGCCATCGCTGATGTGCCTTTGAAGGCAGAGCTGCATGATTCGAAGTCAGATATACAAATTTCGGTTAAGAAATAAAACACAACTGGATTTTCGGGCGAGACTTTTGTAGCTCCGCATGCAGTCTCTTTTGCGGATGAAGGGGCGTGTCAGGCGGGATTGGGTTCGACGCTGCGCTGAATCCCCTCCCTTTCCACCATTTGTTGGAGTGAGAAAGTGGCAAGATTGTATTATATCGTTCGTACAGTCGTTTTCTACCAAATGGTGTCGCTTAGCCGCTTCAACAACTGGTAGACCCCCCCCCCCCAGCGAGCCCCTTCATCCGCAGCTCAAAAGATCGTAAGTAACCTGTTTATCTAATATCATATAAATGTCT